GTAATCCTGAAAATGTCAGATGAATGAAATTCAACAACAGGAAGATTGGGATATCAATCAGTAAGAAAGCGACTGAAATTATGTTTCACAGGGCGGAGATAGAAGAGGATACATTTTCAGACAAAGACAGTTTGAAAACGCTGAGCGATTTCGTACACTGAAACAAGGGAGACCCTGTAGCTGAAGAAGGTAGCTGCGGTCTGACGGACTTAGGTATTAGTCAACAGCGGAGCTGGTTTGACGAAAATTTGAGTTTTAGACGGTGCTGCCGCTGGAAGTAACGTTTCTGTCGGTTGTGGCGCCCTTCACAAATGGCCGGATGCGTCTAAGACTTTTAGTTTACTGACCAGTTGATCACTTCACAAATTTTTGGTTTTTTATGCGCCTTCTTTGGTATTTTTTGTACTGTGCAAGTGGTCGTTTTTCTCATACTTTATTGATGTCCATAGTGCGCATTTTGCTATTTAACGGATGTATGATTGCTTAATTCTGTGATTTCACCAAAAGTTCTGTTTATTTTATAACTGGCAAAAAATGGTGCGCTGGTAGTGTCATGTTCAAAATAATAACAACGAATTTAGAGGAGGCGTGGAAAGGCCGAATAAATTGGAACCACGTCGGAGGAAATCTTTGCCAATTGAAACACCGCAGGAACCAGCGTCGATGCGCATAGCAACTGCAATGTATCCACCACTAAGGCTGAAATCACCTGTACCGCGAGCTGAAAGCAAGGTGAAAACCGTACTGATTCTGGGTAACCACTGAATGATTTAATATCCAACAATCCAAGCCGATAATATTTAGTTAGCTCTTTTACGATAATCTGAATATATTGGTTTTAGGCCGGATCGCCGAAGAAGCGGGTGCTGCGTACGTTATCAGTAGATATCCATGAAGACCAACCACAGACGACGTATACAGCACAGCAGCGGCATCGGCTAATAGGCAACGGTCCTATCACTTCTCCAGCAGCTGGCAGTAGCACGTTGCCTGCCAATCACATTGGAAAGCTGGATCATGGCGAAACATCACCGCAAAAAGCTAGCAGTAGTGGTCTGAATCAGATGCTGATACTGCAGGAAGCGTTGAAGCATGGCTTGGCTAGTACCAGGCAGCAACTACGCAAGACCAGTGAGACGCTGGATGGTCTAAGGAGGTTGCTTTTTTAACACATTCATCTTAATTCATTTTCAGGTTAGTCTACGCCCTTCTGGTCGACGGGGGCTTGAACGTATGACTGCTTTTTATGCGTTTTTGTATATA